GGATAAAACACCTTATTAAATAAGGGTAAATGTGAAACGATAATGTTAGTTTGAAAATAAGTAATTACTTTATTGGATGTGAAATTCAGTTAAAAATATCTTATATTTTTAAATGGATAGAGTATATGTAAGCACGTGCACACAAAAAAAGACACAAAATGGCAAAAATCACCACAAACCATCAAGAAATACTAAAGGAAGCAAATATAAGATTTTTACTGTATAAAAAGTAAAATAAACTATATATATAAACTAATAAATCACAATATAGGTAAAAATACTAAATAAATAATTCAATTCAATCTATTTGATTTTACAACTTGCACATGAATTGAGATTTTAAAAGGAAAAAGCAAAACAAATCAAACTATATAATCAAACTAGATTTTAACTCCGTGAGATACACGAGATTTTAACGTTTGATTTGATTTGAAGACAATGAAAAGAAAGTAAATTTTTTTTAATAACATTGGAAAATACAAATAAATAACAATACATTGCACCATAATTTTTAAGGTTTATTTATTAAATAATGATCAAAGTTATTTTTTATTAATGATCACTCTCGCAAGTGTACGAGATCATAGTAATAAATTATTTGAAGTATTTTAGGTGTCGAACCCACAAGAAAGTTACACTTTTACTAATTTAAATAATTAATAGTTCGAGAAAAATAGATAAAATGGATAATTTTAATAAAAATATAAGGAATAAAAATAAATCAAGAAAATAATGATGATAAAAACATAATCATTTGAAGCGTTGGGATTTAGGATTCACCCTATAGATTGCTAGTTTCTACCTTTTGAGTTGACTCGAATCAATTATAGTGACAACTATTCCTAATGTGTTCTAATATTCTCCCGAATTATTAGTCCCTTTTTAATTAGTGTTGAATTCGTTCTCACAAACTCAATCAACTAATTAAACTGCAAAGTTATAGTTTAAGTCACCATAAATTTCTAGAACTATCATTAGCCTAGTTAATTATGTTTATTTCTCTAGATCTAGGTTCTCTCTTTACCTCCCAGTCCATCAAGATTACCCATAGACTTGATTAAATGGTGGCCAGTCATTAAATCAATATGAAAAACAAGAGAAATAAATATAATTGAAAAAAATAAAAATATTTATAAATATAAATGCAAAGAGTCAAAATAAAAGAAATAGAAAACTAGCTCCCCAATTAGGCTATATCCTTATCCCAACTGGGTAATTTAGAAACACATAATAAAATCAAATTAAACCGTTCTAAAATTTTCAATCATGAAAAATGATCACAAAGAAAATTAAGGAATAGAAAATAAATAATTATAATTTGTGAAACTCCTCAATGATCGCGCTTTCAAGTGGAGGCTCCTTCTTTTATTCCTTGTCGATGTGGGACTCTAATATATATATATATATTTTTTTTTTCTTTTCCTTCTATTTGGTTTATTCTTTTTCTCTACAAAATATAAAAATAAAAAGATATGAGTGAATTTTGTATTAAAATTTCTTTTTATCTTATAATTAAGTGATGGGAAAAAAATATATAAATATCAATTAAATAGATATGAAATCTTAATAAATATAATCAAATACAAACTAAAACCTATACCTATTTAATTATAAAATATGCACTTATCAATTAACATCAAGAGTCAGATTATGCTGTTTTTAAAAATTAAAAAAATATTATACAAAAGATGAGTTTATCAAAAAAAAATTTTTGTAATTTATATTTTTTTATAATTTGTTGTCCATATCAAAAATTTAGTATAATATTTTATATTAAAATTTATTATACAAGTATATATTAAATTTTAAAATTTAAATTTAAGTAGAATATTTTATTTTAAAATTTATAACCAATGCAATGAATGAGAATAAAATATATTCTCTCCATTTAAAAATATAAAGTATTTTTAAAAACATAAAAAAGTAAAATAAACTATATATATAAAATAATAAATCATATATATAGAGAGGTAAAAACACTATATAAATAATTCAGTCAATTCAATCTATTTGATTTTACAACTTGCACATGAATTGAAATTTAAAAGAAAAAAAAATCAAACTGTATAATCAAATAAGTTGAATTAAATAGACCAAACTCAATTTAATTCCTTAATCTTATATATTGTATTATATCATATACATCTGCTGCTGACTGCAGTATAGTTTGGCTCTTTAGCCAAGTTGAGTTTATTCTTGAGTAAGCTTGAACTCCGACAAAAGAAGAGAAAACCTAAGACGCCTGTTTTGCTGACCTTTAAAACCATGTTCTCAAACTGCTTTGTCCTTGTACGGTTCAAACTTGACAGAATTCTTCTTAAAATTATATTGATTAATGATTATTTTGTAAGAAAATAAATTTAAAAAATAAATGTTCTAAAAATTAGATTAAAATTATCACTAAAGCACTTATGTTTTTTTCTGAAATAAATTTAATTATTTCTAATATTGCTAGTGTATTTTGAAAATTTATCATATATTTTAAAAATTATATATATATTAAAAATAATTTTAATATGTGTGTGTGTAAAGAACAACTAGTTATTTGTTGATACGTGATAACCATGATGTCATTCGCTTGAAAAAAAGATAATTTTAATAATTCAGTAGTTGATCAAGTGACTGTAACGCAATGGCCTTGGCCTTATGTTCAGTTTTAAAATCTATATAATATAAAATGGGTGGGTGAGAGAGAAGAGATTTAAAAATATAGGAGTATTATTTACAATGAAACGTAGGATTTTTTAATTATATACATTAAAAAAATTACTATCTTTCTAAATTTTATTTTTAATCCAACCTTAATGCTACAATAAATTATTTCAATCAAATTGAAATTTTAATACAACAAATTATGACATTTGTTAATACTTAATATATAAATTCTTTACTTATCATCTAAGGGTAGTTTATTCTATTTATAATTCTCAACTTGTCTCCAATTGTTCTTTAAGTAGTTGGTTTAGATAAGAACAGAACAGGTCATCGTTCATCTTTCAAGTGCGATGGCATATTCCCGCAATTAGGCCTGATTCCCAAATACCCAAAGTGGTCCAGCTTGCTCGACTATGGCACTATGTTTAATTTTTACTTTTTTTTAATAAAAAAACACTTATTTTTTTAAATTATAATTTTGAACCATTTACACTTAACCCTTTTGATATTTGAAACTTTACAATGATACCCTTCAACTTATATATTTATTTATGCAGATAATTCTATATGATTAAGTTTATACATTAATTATCCACATATGACTTAAATTTTAGGAGATTATTTGTATATTAATCAAAGTTTAGAGCTTAAATGTACACAAAAATAAAATTTAAAAAGGTATATAATTAATGGTTAGGGGTTATTTGCATAAATTTAAAAGCTTAAAGAGGTTTATTATTAAGTTTTAAAAGTTAAGGGTGTTATTTGTACATGGTTTAAAGTTTAAGGATTTTTGTATAATTTAGCCTTGGATATTTTTAAAATTTTTTACAATATTTATTTAAAATTTTAAATTTAACCAAAATTTGAGAAAAAGGAAAAAATTTCTAATTATTTTATGGATTAATGGGCAAAAATATTCAATTTTTTTTTAAATCTTCTTGTATTCTTAAGTAATAATGACGCATGAACACCAATTAAACTTATAAAAGAGATTAACTTTTCCTCATTTCATTAAGAGCACATTTATTTTAGTTTATTTTATGAAAAAATTACTTATTTTTTTAAAATATATTTTGTAGGTTTTTATAATATTTATTTAAATTTTAAAAAATAATTTAAAATATTTTAAGAAGTTATTTTTAATATCTTTTATAAATAATTTAGTGCAGTAGGTGAAATTATTTCTTTTTTTTTTTGCCCAAGATAGAATTATTTTAAAAAGGTGAAATACATGAAAATATTATAAAATTTTAAAATAATATAATAATAAATTATTTTTATAAAATAATAATTAAAAAAGATATTATAAAATTTAAAATAATTAATTGATAATATTTTTTATTATTGTGATCAAATAATATCTATTTTTTTATAAAATCTCTAAAAAATAAGTATCTTTTTATAAAATTTTTAAAATATCTAAAAATCACGTATTTTTTAATTTTAAACAAACATATTCTAAATTCTATGGTTAGAACTTAATTGTTAATGACAGAATATTTTAATAAATTGAAAAAAAGTTAGTACTTCTTCTATTTAAAAATATAAAATATTTTTAATTGAATATCAGTTATCAATAAAATAATTATTTATTTTTAAATTAATTTTATATTTTCATGTTTACTTCTATTAAATATGTTAAAATAAATATAAAGTTATTCTTCAATAAAAACACTTTAAAAAATAATAATTACATTTTAAAAGATTAAAAATAATTTATATTTTTAATGTTAAACTTCTTAAATTCTTTTATATTTTTAATGCAGGAAGTACTTTTATAAAGTGAATGCTTTCCTTTTTGTTATTATTGACTTAAGAATATCATAAATTGACAAAAAAAAATTTGAATATTTTTACATCTTAACCATTATTTTACTTGATTATCCTCTGAAAATATTTTGACATTGTAGATGAGAGAAAATATCATAAAATATGGAGATACCATGCGAAGATATCATAAAATTTAAAATAATAAAATAATAAATTATTTTTCATAAGCATAGATTCAAAAAATATTATAAAATATCAAAATATTAAATAATAATTATTTTTTATTAATGTATATAAACATAAAATAATATATGATTTTTATAAAATCTCTATAAAAATATATTCTTTACAAATTCTTTAAAAAATTAAAAATAGTTTTTTTAATCTTAAATAAAGGGCCCATAAACAAGTAATCGATTTTATCTCGTTATCTCCTTAATTAACAATCATTGATTATTTTGATTTCTTTCTCTTTCAGCCATTCAGGTCGTACCTACGCGACCTCTTTAGACTAATCTAGTTCCTTTGGCGGCCTCACATGGAATTTGCCATTTTTGCAAAATTTTATGTCTATATAGCAGGTCAACAAAAATAATATCTACGTATACGTATACATACATATATATATTTTTTGTTATGATGATATTTTTGGTTTTCTGATTAAAATCGTGTTTCGTAATTACCATTCGAATAACAAACATCATTATCTGCAAAAATCGGATTCCTTGTCTTCAAAATCTACCTTTTTTTATGTCAAGAGATCAATCAATTTGATACAGGTAGCAGCAATATCATCAATGAATAGAAGATTCATTTGATTCTTCTGAGATGGAAGCGGATGTATCCATTTCGCAGTATTTTATCTCCTAAACCCTAAGAACAATCCCATCTTTCTCGTCTGGATGAGTTTTACCGATCATTTTTTGTCTTTTTTGCGATTCGACATGTTTACTTCGATGAGGACGATGAATCTTCTTGTGCTTTTATTCTTCTCTGTGACGACTTCATGCTATATGGCGGTGGCCAAGGTGGTTCTGATTGGGAACAACGTCACTCTATCCTTCGACGACATTGAAGCTAATTTTGGTAAGTTTGCTGGGCTTTTGTTGTTTCCTTTTCTACTAGATATTCTCTTTGGGACTGGGAATTCAGATGAGCTAGGAGTACGGATGCTTTCTGATAAACTCGATGGGGTTGAAGCTGATTGTAGATTGGTTCCTGGGATCGAGATATTGGAATTTGAACATAGAAGTTTTTATGTATTGACTTTAGACGCTTATCTGAAAGGAAAAAGGGGTAAGTTGGTTTGTGGAGCGAACAGAAAAAGTGAGAAAAAGGAGGAAATATGGAAATGGTTGTTGAAAGATGCTGTAAGATTATAGGATAACAAGTAGTAAACACTTTTGTCATTATTTATGTAAGGAACTACCTGTTTTAGTTAAACTTGTTTGAATCATATGCCTGTTGTTACAAAGTCAGCGCTATCCTCTTGTTTGACTGGCTTTGTGTTTCTTGGACTGGAGAAGAAAGTCAATAAGTTGTTTTGTATGTGGTGTATTTAAATCTCTCTCTCTATATCTATCTATCTATCTATCTATCTATCTATCTCTTGACATGAAAGACATTTTGATTTCAGCTCCAGCGATGAAAGGTTCTGGAGAATGTGGTGTCTTGTATATTGCAGAGCCGGTTGATGCATGTACAGAACTGACAAATAAAGTTGAACTGCATTCAAATACAAGTTCACCTTTTGTTTTAATAGTTAGAGGGGGGTGTAGCTTTGAAGAGAAAGTCAGAAGAGCACAAAAGGCTGGCTTCAAAGCTGCAATTGTCTATGATAATGAAGACGATGGAGTCTTAGTTTCAAGTAATGACCAATTCCCTTGTTTTGGCATTTTGTGGCTTCATGTTCTACCTGAAGTTGTGATTTCATCATACACTAGTTCCTTGTGGTAAAAGGGCATTTTACAAATTAGAGAATCTAGCCAACATTTACAAATATTCTAACTGTGAAAATGAGTTTATAATGTTGCTTATAGGAATTGCCCCAAACAAAGGTTTTTGATATGATGTCACTTCACTTGGAATGTATATAGCACTTGAAAATCTCTCCATTATATGCGTGCCAATTTTAATATGTATCATGGCTGATATAAGCAGCAGTAAATTTTTGCCATATCCATGAACTACGAAAATGTTAATTTCAATTTTTCACATTTGAGAATTGAATGCCTCAAAAGCACAGTATTGTGTATTATTCTAAATATCTTTGGAAATTATCATGCGTGAGGAGAACATGTCCTGCTAAATCTTTCTCTTCCTTAAGGTACTATATTTAGATCTGATGTTTTCCTAAACGCATAGTTTCCACAATATGTGGCTGTCAATATTTCTGTTTGGAATCCATTTCTCAAGGAAATTCTGTTTGAGATCCTTATTGTTGAATAATTTCTGTTTCTATTTTATAAATATGTATTTGTGCGTGCATTGGTTTCACATGCATCAGACTTTAGAATTTTAATTTTCTTTCAAATTCAGTGGCAGGAAATTCAGGTGGTATAAAAATACATGCTGTATTTGTTGCTAAAGCCTCAGGTGAAATATTGAAAAGATATGTTGGACTGACTAACATTGAAGTGTGGCTAATTCCAAGCTTTGAAAACTCAGCATGGTCTATCATGGCAATTTCATTCATTTCCCTGCTAGCAATGTCGGCAGTTCTGGCTACTTGTTTCTTTGTCCGGAGGCATCGCATACGAAGAGAAAGGCCTCAGGCTTCTCGTGTTCGGGAGTTTCATGGCATGAGTAGTCGCCTAGTGAAAGCAATGCCTAGTTTGATATTTACCTCTGTTTTAGAGGATAACTGCACATCAATGACATGTGCAATATGCCTTGAAGACTATTGTGTTGGAGAGAAGCTCAGGATTCTGCCCTGCTGTCACAGTAAGTCTTTCCATTTGATTTCTTTCTCAGCTTCGTTGTTTTCAACAAAGTTGTTTTAGTCAGTTGATCTGGTGTAACTTAGGGGAAGATTTTGTGGTTGGAGTGTTGTTCTGGTAGAATCTGCATGTAGTTTGGTGGGTAGATTACTAAATCTTTTGTTCCGTGCTTCATATCTGTGATAGTCTGCTGTGTGGTGTAAACTTATGAGTTATGATGTATCACCGGCCAAAATAAGGATGGTCATCAAGCTTTTTATTGCTATCTTCCCAGCCATTCCTCTTAGAGTTCATTGAAGATTAAGCATGTAGTGCATACGATGGTCAGAAGTCAGCAGCTTGTCGTGAATAGTTTTAGATCACCCTCTTCTTTATATTTTTCCTAGATTGTCTTCAGCTTGCAAGTGTAACTTTTTAACTTTTAGTAATTAAATTCTTCTAAGACGTCTTCCAGCCATTTCTCTTTAGATTTTGAAGATTAAGCATGTATTGGATAGATCTGTTAATTGTTATAAGTTGGTAGCTTGTCATGAATTGTTTTACATTGCCCTTTTCTTCATATTTTTCCTGAATTTTCTTCTGTTTACAGGTGTAATTTTTCATCTTTCATTTCTCTGAGTTGTCTCCAGTGTTCTAGTGGGATAGTATGTTCATATGTTGGCTTCTGTCATTGTTTTGCATACAATGAAAAGAAATATAGGAGCTCATGAACATCATTATCCAAACTTACTCTATACATTCGCTATTTTGGCATGAGTATCTCTCATTTACCCCTACAGATGTCTGTAACTCCACGTTGCGGTGCGTCATACCTGGCTAATTGGAAATTTGGACCCTTTTTTCCAAGTTGATAGAAGATCGATCCATTTAGAAAATCGCAATGTTAGAAGGGGCCTACTTAGGATAATCTTACTCCAAACAGAAGAAATTAATGATATGAAGAAAAAAAAACTGAAGGAGGAAGCCCGAAAATCTAATCGCACATTTATATGAACCCCATGAAGATTTCTGATAGTATCATATGAATCTAATCCGATAAAAATGTTGGGGTATGCTGTGAAGGCTTGTTATTTATTTATTTATTTATTATTATTTTTTCTTTAAATTCTAACTTGAAAAACTATATACTTCCCAGTGCTGCACATGCAAATACAATTTTGCTTCCTATCTTCAGTTTAAAATAAATTTAAGCACAAGAAAAATTACTCCTATGTCTGGGTGCTTTAGCCAAATAGCTGGAAATGCCTTGCAATAGAACAAGGCAACAAATCATGAAAAATGTCTTTTAGTTGGCCTTGGCATCTGCTACAAGTCAATCAAATTTGAAGCAAATGAACCTGTATATGGAAACATGGTGTTTGACTTGTAACAGGGATATGAATTTGATTATTGGAGGGTTGATGAATCAAATAGTCTGAGTGCTCCTTGTGGTTATTTGTTTATATGTACCGTTTTGGTATGATCTCACTGGAAATCGAGGAGACTATTTTAATCCTTTTTTAGGAACAAATATTCTCAATTCGAGCTTCTTTGTGTTGATTCTTGTTATTTGATCCATGCTCTTCTAATTTGGTCATTGCATTCTTAAATCCAGGACATCACTGTCTTATTGTGTTAATGTATGGTGAACAGAGACTGGAATATTTCTATCAATTTCATGTATAGATATTGCAATAGTATAGCTAATAGCTTAGCTCAGAGATGTCATGACTTGAATAACTTAAAGAATATCTTTGATATAAAACCATCTTTCCTTCAGATGTGGTGATGAAAGATTTCTTGCTCTTTTCTTTTGTATTGTTCTAGTTTTCAAGCAATGATATGTTCATATTTCTATTTATAAAAAATAAAAAAAAACAGATATATCAATGGCTTGGGGTTTTCTCCCCTTGTAGTGGTCTTTAGCAATGTGTGATTATTCTGTGTATTGTTAGTTGTTTGATATAGTTTGATATAAATACATTACATACGTATGAAAATATGATTTCATTATGTAGTTTAACCAAGAATTTCGTATTTCTTATTACTTCTTGACAGAGTTTCATGCTGCTTGTGTGGATTCTTGGCTTACTTCATGGAGAACCTTTTGTCCAGTTTGTAAGCGTGATGCAAGAACTGGTCTAGCTGATCCTCCACCTTCAGAATCCACGCCTTTGCTTTCATCTGGCCCAGCATCTGCAGCATCCTCTGTAGCATCATCTGTGAGATCATCTTTAGCATCATCTTCTGCCATACAAATTGCACAGTCCCCGTCTGTTTCTTGGAACCATTCTGTGGCCAGTACACCCTACATTCACCCATCACTTAGGTCCCACCACCACTCTCCCTTCATGAGTGTCAGTCGAAGCTCAGTAGATCTTAGGAATGCATCCCAAAGATCTCAAGCTTCTCATTTGAATTCTCCACATTCTATGGGTTACCCATCAATGTCATCTATGAACTCGAGGTACTTGTCCCCACATATTCGAAGTCCAATTAATGTTTCAGCAAGTTATATTGGTTCTTCTAGTCATCGTCATCACCCCCTTCATTATAGTGGATCAGCTGCGAGTTTTTCTCCATTTGCTTCTGCACAATCCCTTCCAGAATGCTGAGTTAATGAGGTGTGCACCGCATTTGCAGATAGTCATGAGAAAGAGACATCAAGTAACCTTTGCAATTCTCATTACCTCTAAATCAGATAGTTGGTTACCATGTTACAACTACTGATCTGCTTCCATCCCATCATACTGCTCGAGTCATGATGTGGTCACATCTCTCAATCCATTTCTTCATGTGGGGTGTACATTGTGACATCACTGTGTGATGTTTGTTTTATTCTGGTTGATGTTGTTGCATTTTCAGGTTGATGTGGTTGCCTAGGTCGCTGCAAATTTGGGTTGATATTCACTATGTCATACTCTTGGTTTTTGAATTATAGTTGACTGCTAACACGAGAAAATGTTTGGCCTGTACAGAAAAACTGCAGTGGTATTAATTCAGTATGTTCTGATTGTTTAATAGTTTTATCAGCTGGGCAGAGTTTCTCTCCTGGTGATTTTCTCTCGTCTTTTTCTTATGTGTACTATAATACCTTCTCACATCAATTTTTTACTTGGGACATATTCACCGATGTTCTCATTTTCACATGCACCTGCATATACCTGTAATGTAAGTAAATCACTAGAGAGAATCTGGTTCCAAAATGATGACAGGTTATGTGATTCATGGAAGTTTTTGTGCTGAGCACAGAGATGAGTATTGATAATCCACATGAAATTTTTGGGTGATTATTTTGTTGATATGTTAGCCTCTGTTGTTAGTTTTGAACCTTAGAAACAGCCAATTTATTTTCCTCTTTCCCTCATTGTTTAGTGAATGTGCATCTTCACTAGCTATTCTGAAATCCATAAACAGGTGAAAGTAAAAGGCACTCATTTATCTTCCTTATATTTTTATGAACAGGAAATACATAGAAAGCACATGGAGCTACAAATATACAATGGTAATTGCTCCCAAACATGAATTCTAACTGCCAAAGAGTGACACTTGGACAATCTTGGTTTTCACAAGTGCAAGCCTTTTCAATATGTATAGAAGCTTAATGGGCTTTAGAAAGCCCTAATTCTTGGCCCACTAATGGTTGAAACGTTTTTTTTTTTTTTTATTTGACGAGTTGAGTACTGGGTTAAACTTAAGCATTACCGGATCCATTTGTGAGCAGCTTTTTTAAAAAGAATGTTTTTTTCTTATTCACGTTACCCGATCATTTGGCAGTTTTGACACACAGGACTCCCGTCAGTTGCAAGGTTCTTGAGATCCAAGAGATGGGAAAGTTCATGTAGGCCAAACAAAAGGGATATATTTTATAAAGCCTTTTGTTGTTAGTATTATAATCATAATTATATGAGAATAAGTTCTTTAAACATTGCCTGCCTTCACAAATAGGCTTGTGTCTCTGCAGCGTCCTTCAACGTCGTAGGAGACAGGAAAATGTCCCTTTTAAGTTTTCTTTATTTATTTTCAGAATTAATTAAATGGTCAAATATAAATGTGAGAATGATAGATAAATACCTCTAAAATAGAAAAATAATAATTTGGACACATGAAATGTAATAATGACAGCAGGGTTTCAAGAAATTAAAATTTCTAATGTACCCACTACAACTAATTTTATATAATTTTCAAGTTTGGTATAAAGATTTATAAGTTTTGTTCAACATGACTGAAATGATTTAAGAGATCATAACTTTTTATCAACAATTTTCTTCAATCAGCAAAGTTCAACTAATTTTATATGGTTTACAATTCACAAGTTTAATGTAAGTATTCGCAAATTTGGTTTCACCAATAATTAAAGAAATTTAAAAAATTATAATTTTTTATTAGCAAAGTTAAACTAATTTTATATCATTTATTAGTTTGGTATAAGTATTCACAAGTTTGGTTCTATCAATAATTAAAACAATTTAGAAAATTACAACTTTCTAAATTGCAAAGGGATACTAAAATAATTTCATGCAAAAATTTTAATCTAAAAAAAAAATCCTCCGAAACCTTACTATTATCATCACATTTTGTAAGACTAAATTATTATCTTTTTATTTCAAAAGAATTTATCAATCTTTCCCCAAATATAAATTGTCTCGAAGAAATGAAAATGGCAACTTTTACTTGAAACATTTTTAGTAATTAACATGACAGATCGGGATTGATGTGAAGACTTAAGTTATGAGAGAGATTGACGACCTTTATATTTGATCTCATTTTTTTTATGGCAGAATTTCATCTAAGACCATGGTCATGACATATTTTCAAACCAGCCCTAACATTATTTGAAATCTCATTGCAATATATTAGGCCTGAATTGAAATAAAATTGTAAAATGAAATTATCAAAATATCCTTCTTATAAAATGTTGCAATATAACAACTAAACAAGAAAATTAATAAGTAAAGTTTTTAATAAGTAATGTAATTGATTTTATAAGTTATGCTAATACGTTAAAAAATAATACATTTAACTCAACACATGGATTTCACACATAAAGTTATGGAGTTACCGTTTAAAGTTTAGGGTTTGGGGCTCACCATATGAACTTCACATATAAAGTTATAGAGGTAGCAAGTAATGTAAAGTAACAAACAAGTAAAGCTCAATAATTAATTAGTCTTCTTAAGAATTAGTCATTGGTAGAGTCATGTTGACTTGAGGGGACGCATTTGCACCCCCTTGCTTTGAAAAAAATTATAAGTGGGGTATATAAAATTTATAACTTTACACCTTTTATTCTTGGTATTTTGCACCCTCTGAATTAAATGAAAAATATTTAAATTCAAAAATTTATTAGATATATAATATTTTAATGATCTAGATAAGATATAAAGAGTATATTTACAACAAAAGATCATATCAATTTATTCAATATAATTTTTTAAAATAAAAAATAATGATAAAATTATTTATGTTATTACAATTTTAGTCCTTACATAATTATTATTTTTTAAAAAAAATTAATTTTTTGTTAAATTATTTTGCATTCCCTGACTCGGAGTCCTAATTCTGCCACTAAAATTAGTAATCATGTTAATCAGACTATACTAGATGTAACAAGTAATATAAGAGAATCAATAAGTAAAATAACTTTTTTTATAAATAATATAATTAATTTTATAAGTTTAACAAACAGCGGATATATGCTACATCCAGGATCCTAAGATGAAATTCTTCCCCTTCTTTATCATTTAAATGTTGATAGTATTGTGATTTATTCCTTTTAAAAAATATATATAAGTAAATTGCCCTTCTCATAATTGAGATAAGAGATGGGAAAAAAATTAAAAACTACATTTATAGACCCCGATAATAAAATATTTAAATATAAAGATCTAAAGAAGTTATGAATGTTGGGAAGTATAAACTTATTATTAATTTTTTTAAACTCACGATCAACTTTTTAAAAATAAAAAACTACTGTATTTAAAATATTTATAATTTTAATCCTGAAATTTTTCGCGAAATTCTTCTAATTCTCCCTTGTTTTGTTTATCTCTTTCATAAAAAATATTTATCATATTTTTCTTAGCTCCGTAACGTGTCCATCCAATATAGTAATTGCATCAACATAACATCACCCTTGTATACCCTTGTGATGATCATAATAAGCAAATTAAATACAAATTAGCATGCTTTCTATGCTATTTATCAAACCCAAAAAAAGTAAAAACATACCCCTCCATTAAAAAATATAAGATATTTTTAACTGAATCTTACCCCTCAATAAAATAGTTATATATTTTTAAATTAACCTTATCTTTTCATATTTATCCTTATTAAATATCCTATAATAAATATAAAATTATTCATTAATAGGAGCACTTTTGAAAAAATTGTAATGATTACACCTCAAAAGAATAAAAATATCTTATATTTTTGAGTATCCAACTCATCAAAAAATATATTATATTTTTTAATAGAGGGAGTACTATTTTTTTACTTGGATAAAGTATAACATTTTCGAGTTAAATGACTTGCAACTTTTTATAAATTCAAATGTATACAAACCTTTTTGTGTGGTTAGTTGTCAAGATAATTTGATTTTTTTAAAAAATAAGATATAAAGATTCAGGTTTTAAAAAATTTAAAGTAGAGAATGTTTAAAATGATAATTATTTCTTATTTTCCTAGAATAATCAAAACTAATATTACATTTAAAAGAACTTAGAGCAAAACTAAAATAAATGATTATTGCATGCAAAGGGACAAAAATATTTATGAGGTCGTCAGCCAAGAGCATGTCGTAACCTAAAGTAAAAAAAAAATAAAAATACATATGATATTACCTAAATTGATGTAAGAGTGATTAATCCGTTAAATCTTTCAAACATTGACCACTTAACTAATATCTAAGCAAACATTGACCATTTTTTTGGCCAATGTGGACTAATAAAAAGGAGACAAAAATACCCATGAAATCTAAAGTAAGAAAAAAGATAAAAATATCCATAGCATTATTTTAATAGATATAATAGTAATTAATCAATCAAATCCCTCAACCATAGACTGTTTGATTGACATGTAAATAGAAATTGACCATTTTTTTGCTTATGTGTACTAAAACATATTCTTAGGCAAAAATTCATGAAGGCTAATTGATCATCGTATGATAACAAGTCTTAACTTGAGGCTCTAGTTTGGACAGTAGAAAAATATCATTTTGATCAAACAATAAGTTTAATCACTTGCTTTTTTAAAATTCTTAGACCATTAAAACTTCTTCTTGATCATCCAAATTGGCAAAGGAAGTTCTCTACAACTCAATTTTCTTTCCAACTTCATTTGTAACATCACATCTCTTTCAGCCAACTCAGTGGCTCAGGTTTAATGCTTAGTTGAGAGAGTTGTAGAAAATCGTGCTTGGTCATCAAAATTTCTCTAAGAAGCCTCCGCTTGAGAAATGTTTAAAATTTTGTTAAGGGTATCACTAGATGGAAAGAAATATATATAGATTAGTCACTACTGCACCTACTAAAGTAATTATAGATATTTTTGCCTTTTTTCTTATTTTAGACTAGATGCCCTTAACCAATGATTTTGTGAGTATTTTTACTCTTTTTTTAATTCATATTAGTGAAAAAATGGTCAATATCTACTTAAGTATCAGCAAAATGATCAATATTTGAAAAATTTAATGAATTGGTCACTCTTGTACCAACTTAAATAATGTTATGAGCATTTTTATTTTTTTTCTCACTTTAAGTTACTCGATACTCCTGACCAATAATTTTATAAGTATTTTTATCCATTTATCCTATATTTAATCAAAAGAATTGCCATCAAAATACTCAAAAGTCAAAAGTGTTAATAAAAAAATATTTGTTGATAAGTTTTTAAAGATAAAATAACAATTATATTATTTAAATAGGGTTAAAGAATAAATTTATCTTTAAATTATAGATCCAATAGCGTATGTTACTTTAAAGTTATTTTTGATATGATGTTTTCCTTTAACCTTTTAACAT